TCCCCCAGCAGCCCTTTGCTGGTGAGACCTTTCCACCTTAAACTGAAGGAGTGGGATTAGATGTCCTCTGACATCCCTCCAGTTCTAGAGCTTTGAGACTAGGAAATATCAAACTCACACCCCTCTACCTACACGAGCATTTTCCTGGTCATCTTGGATGCTATTGATTCAACAACCTCTCCACCACCCCAAATTACCTTGAGTTTATTTTGACACAGTGTAGTAGATTGGGAGCTAGCTTTGGAGTCAGAAAGACCTGAGTTTCAGTCTTGCCTCAGGCATACACTGGATGTGGGATTCTACATAGATCACTTAACCTCAGTACCCTGGGCAACTCTTTCAGATGATCTTTGGTAGGAATCCATAGATTCTTTTTTCAGAATCCTCCTCTTCTTCATCTTTATCACTTCCATCCTCTTCTCATCCTCAGTCATGTTTGGTTGGAGCTGCTCCCATTTTTGTGGTTTTAGGTGGTTCTTATTCTTCAATTGCAGAGAAGGTGCCAATCTACACTGGTGGAGGGAGGTTTCTCACCTGGAAGTTCTTGGGGTATCCTTGAGAGACTGGGGAGAGGTTAACCTTCTAATTCTTCATAAGCTCCCATTTTCCCTCCTGATGGTTAATAGATATCAGTGAGTCAGCCAGACTTAACTAGCTTTTAGAAAACAGTATTTACTAAGGTGGGATTGTTAGAATAATTGGCAGAAAATATTCCCTCCCTGAAAAGACTCCGACATACTCTTCTACAAGTACCTATAGAATCCAGGGGAAAATGGGCTCAAACTTGAGAGCCCATGGTCACTCCCAGATTGTGAATGTCCTATTTGCTGAAGATGTTTCCCCTAGTTACGCTATAGTTTTTCTGCTGGGTTTCTTGAGAGCCTTGAATTTGCTGTTCCTCATCACATCTAGTCTATCCTCAGCTCCCAATAAAGACATTTTCACCATCCATTGCTTTCACAGGGACACTGGTGGAATGTCAATGAAAAGCCCTAATCCTTCAACCTCTTGAAATTTAAAACAGCCTCCTCTGGCCAAGGTGGGAGGGGAGGTAGGGAAGGAGACCAATATTTTCCTCTCCCCTACTCCCCAAGCAATGACTTCTTAGGGGCTTGGCTAAATGCTTCCACCACTTCCACCACTGGAATTCTTAATTCCAAACTAACTTGTTGTGTTTCTACAAGTCTGCCAGGATATTGCTAAGTCCCTCAAACAATCATAACAGATTTCTGGTTGATAGGCAGGAGATAACTAATCCCTAATCACATCGAGTTCACATGTCTGATCAATTTATTCAACAGATACCTGTCTTCACCTAAAAAGAGTGACAAGGATACATAGGGCAGAGTGTGTGACTCTATACCCCACAATCTTTCCATATACATATCCATTGCCTCCTTCTCTAGGAAGTAAACCCCTGGAGGGAAGATATCATTTTATTTTTATCTTTGTATTGTTACCACTTAGCACAGGACCTGGCACATGGCTCATTCTTTATTAATGCTTGTTTACTGATTGATAACTTGTCTGCTATGCTATAGAGAGATTTTTTTCTCCCAGGTTTGTATGTCACTCAAGTTTTTTCCAACTCTAAAATTCTGTGATTCTGTGATGTTTCCAACAGGAATAGAAATTATCCTTCCATTCTAATTCTTCTCTAGCCCTAGAAACACCTAACGTAGGATTGGTCACACAGAAGGCGTATATCCTCACTAAATGAATGAATGAGGTTTTCTTCCTAGTGGCTAAAATAAGGTGATGGTTTGAATTGACTACAAGTACTCAGAGGTGGTGAAGTTCTTCACTCACATCCTTCTGAGTGAGTACAAATTGGTCATCTGACGACTTGGAAAGAAGATGGCATTAGTGGTTCTGGGGGGTAAGGATTACAGGGCATTGGGATAGGTGATTTCCCCAAGGACAGTGGGGTAACTTGGAGAGAGAAAAACTCTAAGGTCCCTTCCAGGCCTTAGATTTTATAATAAAAAAAAAGTGTTTATAAGCCTTTCTTGTTTTGAGTGTTTGGGGAAAAGCTACCTCACAATTGCATCCTCCTAGTTCTCTCCTTGTGGCTTGGTTGGGTGTGCAGATATTTGGGAGAGAAAGCAGAATAGTCAGGGCAAATGGGTGCCAAGATACCACCTGGGTGGCCTTGACTCCTTCCAACTTCCCATCTCTTAGATAGGTCATCATCAATAGGTTTATAATCAGTTCCATCAACTCCCCCAACCAACTAATAAGACTCAAAAGCCTTATTTTGCTGGGTCTGGTTCTCTTGTTCTTGCCACCTCATCCCCACACTCCCAATGTCCAGAGACCATTATACTAAGTAAAAGGATTCAACCCATAGATTGATGATACTGGTTTAATGACAAGAGCAATGGATTTGGAATCTGGGGACCTGGCTTCAAATCCCAGCTCAGTCCCTTACAGCATATATGACCTTGGGGAAGACATTTATTACCTATGGACCATAATTTCTTCATCTGTAAAGTATCTTCTAGATCTCTAGGATTTCATCCTGATACTTCTTTCCTGGAATTCTTTCAGATGGAGTCAGCAATCTAATCTCCCTATTGATACACATATAGATAGGGACTGCACCTGTAATTTAATTGGTTTAGGGGGAATCTCATATGAGGATTGTTCCTCAACTAATGCTGGTTGGCAGCTTGTCTGCAACATGCCACTTTGTCCCTCAGTTTCTTCATCTGTAAAAAGAAGGCATCAGACCCAAATGTCCTTTAAGGTCCTTTATAGTTCCAAATCTATCCTACTATAACTCTGAGGGATTAAGAGACTTGCCATCTTCTCTGCTCCAAGGCCAGTTCCCTATCCATGACACTACACTGCCTCTATTGATAAAATAAGAGTAATGCATGTTCACAAAGATACTCTATTTTTTCACAGGGATATTTTCTGATAGGGAATCTACCCTAAGCAGATGGAGCTCATAGAAGGGATAGAAAGGGATGTCCAAGACAATCCAGTCCAACCCAGAACCACCCTGTGATTATTTGGCCTATTCTCAGGTGATAGATCCAGAGTCTATGTGGGTAAGGTGAAAAAAGAAGAATGATTGGAACACACTGAACTGCAAAGGCCTACTGAGGGACCATGGTTTGGGAGTCTCAATTTCCATGTACTGCTATCCTCAAGTAAAATATCACTGACAGAATGTTGTTTAGCACCTAGTACTTTCCTACCTCTGCAGATATTCCCTTCCTCAGGGCCCCATGTAGCTCCCCTTACACTGGGAACTCGTGTGTGTGTGTGTGTGTGTATGTGTGCATATGCACATCTGTGCATATGTGGTAGAACAGAGAGAAATACTTAATCAAGATCAAAAGATGGGATGAATTTAGGGCAGCCTCCTAGCCTCTGGACCTCCATTTTCCGTCCTCCCACCTCTCTTCTGAGATTCAGTACCATGTCTCCAACTCTACTCACTGAGCATTTACCTTCAGATGTCCCATAGGCACCTCAAACTTGATATGTTGAAGACAGAGCTCATCATCATCCCCCCAAGCCCTCCCTTCTTTCTAACTCTTTCACTTCTTCTGAGTGCACCACCGTTCTTCCAGTCATGAGGTTCATGACTGAAGAATGACTCGACTTCTCAGTCTCTCTCATTCCACCTTGTCGAATCTTGATTACGTTTCCTTCACATTTCTCACGTCTATACCCTTCTTTCAAATCACACTCTGACTGCCTCATTACTTCTGGATTACTGGAAGAGTTGGCCTAATTGGCCTCTCTGCCTCAAGTCTCTTTTGTCTCCAATCAAATCTCCATGCGAACGTAGAGATTATCAACACCACCAATGGGATATTTGTAAAAGCACTTAGAATAGTACCCGGCAAAAGTAAGCGCTTTATAAATCTTATTCTCTTCCCTCCCCTCCCCACAGTTTCCATAGTGATATTCCTACATTACGGGTCTAGCCATATCACTGTTATGCTCAAGAAGTTGCAATGGGTTCCCATTGCCTTTAGGATAAATATAAACACCTCCTTTGTCCCTAAAGTCTGTCACATTCTGTCTCATATATTTCCAGGCTGATCACATATGATGTATATAAAGAACATACATGTCATACACTCTACCTTCCAGAACAATTGGTTTACTTGTTCCCCATATATGACTGTCTCCCACCTCCATGTCTTTGCACAGGATGTCCTCTCCTCTCGTGTCAAGAACGGTTTCCTTCAACTCCATTTCTTAGAACCCTTGGCTTCTTCCAAGCTTCAGCTCAAGGGCTATTTCTTCCAAAAGGCCTTGCGTTTATGCGTTGGTAAACATGTGTATCCCTAGTAGAATGTAAATCCCTGAGATCAAGGACTGCCACACTTTACTATGTGGATACCCATTGGCCTGCACAAGAGCATAACATATGTTTGCTGATTGCTAATTTTTGATGGATGTCATTTCTCTTAGCTCTGGAAGAGCAAATTCAAAACCCATAGCCCATTTACTCTGACATAGTGAACTGACTTAATTTAAGGCTGATCTTAAGATAGCTCAGGACTGAGAATTTCCCAGAATAATTAAATAAGTCAAACACCTGAATGAAAAACTGCCTCCTGATTCAGTTAACAGGATACAGGATCCTAAGGGCATAACCAAATTTCACAACCAAGTAGAACAAAGGTTTTATCTGTCATCATTTCATTTTTTGACTTTTAATTTTTTTTTTACAAAGTCTAAGGAAGGATTCCTTAATATCTATGTATAATGAGCCTCTTTGGTAGTATGACTTTTATCCTGGTCATAATTGGTTTCCCCTGAAACTGAGACAGCTTCAATCAATTCAAAATGCCACCAATATACTTCTTTATTCTTTAATGCCTGCTCTCTCCTCCACCCCTTCACCTCAGCACCCTCCCATCCTGGGTAATTTATTCTCTCCATACACACACACACACACACACACACACACACACACACACAGACACACAGACACACACACACACACACACACACACACGAAAATGCCGTTGCCAGGTTTTACAAATGAAACTTTATTTTTATGGCAATTTTATCACCATATTGTAATCTCCTTTTCCATAGTAACATCTTTCCAGACAATTTAATCATTATTCAAACAAATTCTTGTCATTTTCCCTTGAGGTAGGGAGGAGAAGAATTTCCCCCATTTTGAAATGAGTCAGCTAAGGCCCACTGAGGTTAAATGACTTGCCCAAAGGTTGGTTACAAAGAAAAATAAATAAAAATAAAGGCACAAATATTTATGGCACATTAAATTAAACAGCAATAATAAGAGTAAACATTTAAATTATAATAAATGTCTCAGGGAGCAGCTGTGGAAAACTGGATGGAAATAAATTATTCTTTACTCCTGCTTTAGTGTGAGGTCACATTGGGGTAAGAGGTCACATTGGGGTAAGAAGAAGTGGTTAGGGCCTTCATGGGCTTCATGTTCTTGGCTTTCATATTGTCTAGGTTCTTCATAAGATCCTCGACCCACTGATCCTTTGGATTAGCACAAAGGCTGAGGCCACGTTTGGTCACAAAGCTGTGGAGGAAAGATTTTATAAGAGCTTTTGTTGAGTATCTTTGTGTATTTAGCCAATGTGGTTGAATCATCCTACCGTAAACCTGTTCTCCACCCCAATCTTGACACACTCCAAAACTGGGATAGGAGAAGGAGGTGCATCAGGAGAATATGATGCCCATTCCTGGTAGAGCTATTCTGTTTCTTGGGTTAGTTTATAGAGTTATCCCTACAAGTGGGGAATAGGTGGTTATGATAAAACGATGAGTAGTGACTGAGATAATTCACACATTGAGCTAGAGTGGACAGTTGGGGATAAAGGAAAGAGCCAAGCAAGGTTTAGAGACCTATATACTTCATCCCTTTGTGTCTGTCCACCAGTTACCACTGCCCACTTGGATGTCATCTTATTCCAGCTGCAGATCCAAGAATCTTTTTGTTCTTCCCTGCCTTTCTGCGTGTGAAATCAATAAATCTCAGAGTTATCTTTTAGAGCACCTTATATGGAGTGATAGAATTATGGAATGTCAGAGTGGAAAGAGACCTCAATAATTATTGGCTCTCATTTGTCAGAGGATCAAGAGAAGCTCAGAGAGTGGAAATGTTTTGCTCAACGTGACTAAAAGACAAAGTGGCATGTTTACTTTCGTAGGGGAACAGGTCATAGACCTAGAGCTAAAAGGGTCCTTAGAGATCATCTTGTCCAAACTTGAGAAGACTGAGACCCATGGAAGTTAAATGACTTGCCCATTGTCACATAGATATTCAGCATCAGAGTTGGAATTTGAACCCAGATCCTCTGATTCCAGAGCCAGTATTCTTTCTGTTCTACCACTCAAATTTGGCAGATATTTCTGAAAGAACACCAAGTCAAGAGTCAAGAGACTGGGCTCTCCCACCAAATGGCTGTGAGGCTTTGGACAAGTCACTTCCTTGTCATGGGTCTCATTTTCCTCATCTATGCAATGAGGAGATTGGACTAGAGAGTTATCCTTTGCATATCATTCCAGTTCTTGTCTTCTATGATTCTAGTATTCCACTCTTGCCTTGGATTTGCTAATGTCAGTCGTTTTGATAGTGTTCCATATTCCTTTTTATTTTTATCAGTAGACTCAATTACATGAAAAATCCTCTAACTAGTTCTTATATCCAAACACACAAAGTCCTAAATCAGCTCTACTTTCACTTCCCCAAATGCCAAAGATTGATTCAGCTTCTGCTGTCCCCAATCCTTTCCTGCCTTGTGTGTAGTCAGTGCAGTACTGTAATTAGGATGTCATTATATGCATTAACTTACATCACTGCTTCTTTGGAGCACATGCTGCTGGTGTTCTTATAGCTGACCAGGAGTTTCAAGGGGATCTTCTTGTTGGTATATTCAAAGCAGCATTTTTCTGGAGTATAGACGCCATCTGAATCAATTGAGGCAATATTTGTAAAGCATTTAGCGCACATCTAGCACATAGTGGATGCTGAATACATTTGTTCCCTCTTTCCCTCCTCTTCGAATAAAGCTCAAATGAGAAATGTTTAGGATGTTTTATGTTTCCCCTGAAAGGTGAGTTATCCAAGAAAGGGAATCCAAGAGAAGATAAGGTACGAAGATCAAAACCCTTCATTTGCAATTCTGTGCCATGCTGCTCTTCTCTACCCCACCCCCAGCCCAGGCTCCACCCCCACTTCAGATCTAAGGACAAGAATGAGTCCCAGGGCAAGGCTAAGGATGCTACTAAGGGTGTAGGTGTGACATGATTCAGGACCTAGTTCAAGCCTTCGTTGCTCTACCTATGAAATGGGGAGGCTACATAGTAATACTATCCCATTTCTACCTGACGAGTTTCTGCAATGCAATTAGTGAGCTGAGATTTGGAGACTGAGAACTTTGGACATTTAGTTATATGGTTTTTATTATCTGAGACAGCTAGGTTGCACAGAGGATAGAGCCCTGGCACTGGAGTTAGGAAGATCTGAGTTCAAATGCTGACTCAAAAAACTCACTAGCTGTGTGACCCTGGTCAAATCACTTGACCTCTGCTTGCCTCAGTTTCTTCAATTGCAAAATTGGGATAATACCTCTCCTTACTTCCCTGGATTGTTGTGAAGACCAAATGGAATATTTCATAAAGCTCTTATCACAGTGCCCGTTGCATACAGTAGGCATTTAATAAATGCATGTTTCTTTCTTCTCCTGTAGATAACTAAGTATCTAGTGTTGAAATTTCAATAAAAAAGCAACTGTACTATAACTGATAAAAAAGTCAAGTTAATTCAATGTCAAGTTCAAATTCTGGACTTCTATGCAACATTTTGCAAAAGTTCCTAGAGTTCAACTCTAGAAATGCCTTCTCCATACACCAGAGTCTTTCTCTTCGAGAGGGACACCCATCATGGTAGGGAAGGATGCTGGGGTGGAAGCCATGCTCAGTTTAAGATGGTGTGATAGGAAGGGCTTGAGACTGGGAGTTAGAAGTCTTGGGGTCTAGTTCAAACTCCACCATTAACTAGCTGTTTCCTTAAGAAGCCATTTTCTGGCTCTTGGTTAAATAAAAGGATTTCATGAAGTCTGAGGCCCTTCTGATATTTAATGAAAAAAAGATGAGGGCAGGTATCAGGAGGGAGGGGAGGAAGGAGGATCAAGGACACTTACCTGGTGTGGCATAGACCTGACAGATGAAATAAGCAGTGAGGAGGACCATGGGCAGAACAGCTCCAAAGATCTTCATGGCAGCGCAAGGAAAGAAGCAGGCTTTGGGATGATGTTCAGTAGCTTCTAAGGTTCTGTCTGCCTTACTGATCATTCGGCTCTCTTTTCCTCCGTTTTAAAGGGAGAAGGAAAGGGCTCTGGAGGGATGGGGGGGGGTCATCTTTAGGGCTGTCAACAGTGGAGAGACTCCTAAATCTGCTGAGCACACAGCATGGATCTGGGGACTTTGCCAGGAAGTAAGAGAGGGAAGCTGTGGTTTTGAGTTATGCGTGGTTTCCAAGTTGGGGCTAAGATGATAAGGCCATGGGTGGAAAGAGCCCTACCCAAGATGACTTCAGGAAGTGAGCTCCTAAAGCTATTCTAAGTGGCCTAGCTTTTTCTAAAATCAAACCTCTTCCTCAGAAAAGGAAGGAAGCAGGGAAACCAAGGTCAGAAAGGGGTCTGTACAGATTTGAGGATCTTTCTACTCCTGCCCAATGTTGAAGCGGAAGTCAGAAACCTCTGGGTGAAGAAAAAAGGAGACAATCCTTGGGAAGAACTCTGGCTTCTATTAAAATAATCACCAGTCCTTAATGTGAAAATATGTTTAACGTGATTGCACATGTATAGCCTATATCAGATTGCTTGCTATCTTGGGGTGGGGGGATGGGAGAGAGGCAGAAAAATTTGGAACTCAAAACTCTTATTAAAAATGAATATTGAAAACTATATGTACATGGGAAAAATAAAGTACTATTTACTAAATAATAATAAAAATAACAAAATAAAATAATCACCAGTCCTTTAGGATTGCCAGGCTAATGGACAATAGTGAGACAGAAGAGATGGAGGCCTTCTTCTTTCCCCAATGAGCCTTCTCCAAAAAATAGGTGGGGTGATGCAGAGGAGATTCTGCAGTGGCATGCACAGGGTCAACCACACTACCAATGCCTTGGGTATGCTTTCTTTGCTATCCCCTAAATGCTACATGCTCTTTCACACCTGCACAGTTTTGCTTAAGCTAACCTCTCTTTCTGGATCCTTCCCTTCTTTTCTTTACTTATTAACACTCTAACAGAAGGCTTAGTCCAAGTCTCATTTTCTCCATATAGAATTCCTTGAATATTATAGCCAAGTTTAAAAACATCATTCTGAGAAAGGGTCCATAGGCTTCACTGGGTTTCTAAAGGATTGCAGGAAACAAAAATAATAATGCTTGTTCTATGTGCTCTCTCTTAATGATCCCACCATTCTCATGGTTTCAGCTTTTACCTCTATGTAGATAATTCATAAAGGCCTCAGTTTCTCCCCAGAGTTCCAGGTCCATATTCCTAATGACCGGTTGGCCACATCCACCTAGATGTTCCCTCTAGTATTTCAAACACAATATGTAATAACTAAACTCATCTCCGACCCCCTTTCCTAAACTTTCTTATTCTAATTTCTTTATTTCTGTTGAGAGCACCACTATCCTTCTGGTCATCATGCTTATAACATCAAAGTTCTCTTTTATTCTTCCCTCACCCTCATCCCTGACATTTAAGCACTCCCTTCAATTCTACCACAGCAATCTGTCTTGCATAATCCCTTTTTAGCTCCTGATGCAAACACCTTATTTCATGCCCCCTCTCCTTTTCACCTTGCCTTCCCATCAGTCTCCTGTTCAGTATATTCCCTTTAATTGATGTTTCCCTCTATTGCCCAAATTCTGTCTCTGACATGTCACTTTACTTGAAAGTGTTCAGTGGCTGCCCATTCCCTACTGAATAAAAAATCAATAGTTGTTGCCATTCAATGGCCTCCTCTGTCTGGCTGTAATGTACATTTCTCATATTATGTTTCTCATTACACTCATGTTATAAGATCATAGATTACAGATTTAAGGCTTTCAGAGTTCTACTCCTCCATTTTATAGAACAATCAAATAAGAATCAGAGAGTGTGAGTGACTTTTTGAGGTCACACAGGAAGTTTGTGACAAAACTAGAATTTCAACCCAGGTTATCTGACTCCAAATCCAATACCATTTCCATAGAGCCACATTGCCTCACCAACATGATACCCATTTGGACTGCTCCCCACTCCTTATTCTCATTCTATTTCCTTGTAGCATTTTGTCTTGCTTAGAAAACAATGTTGTGTAACATAAAGGACATTGAATACGGAGGGAGTGTGGGATAAGAGGAATTTCAAGGTCCTTTGCAACTTTGCTTTTCTTTGCTCATATGGTTTGTGAATTTCATGGAAGAGAATTTCTATTTCTGTGTTTGGTAGTACCATAAAAGAAGCAGACTCTAAGCCATGTGCAGTGAGTAGAACCTTCTCTTGGCTCTCACTTGATGATTTTTAGAAAATCACTGTTATATCATACTCAGCAACTGCGACAACATCATTGAATGCTGACTGATTACTTTTAGAAGTGTCTGCTGTTTCAGTTGCCTTCTCCACTGGTGATGGGGTATATTTTCAAGTGTTCAGCAAACACGGCTGCCACTGCCACACTTATCTCATTCCCACCACTGGGGCCACCATCTCGCTGTCTTTTCATTTTTCTTGGATTCCATAGGACAATGCTTGATTGCTTTCCAGGTAAGTTTCTTCAGGATATAGTGCAATAGTTGATGACCATAATTTTATACCGGGGTAGAATTGGGTTCTGGGAAGCTATATTAATGGAAGGAAAAAAAAAACCATTTTGCTAATGTAGCTTCACATGTTGCAGAGTTTGTGAAATTTGAAATAAATCGGTAGCTTTAAGGAGTTCCTTCTAAATCTTGATGTTTCCTTAGGACTGAGAGATTGGAGCTCCTTCAGGGACAAGTAATGAGTTTTTTTAAAAAATAAAGCCTTATTGATATCTTTTGTTCTCACATCATCTAAATTTTATCCTATGTTTCTTTTGCTTTTCCTTTTCTCTCTGAGAGAGCCATCCCTTATAACAAAGAACGTTTTCAAAAGAAAAAGAAGATAATTAAGGTCACCAATACCAATCAATACCTTTTAAAATTAATTTTAAAAACTATTATTAAATATTAAACTATTATCATTAAATTATTTTAATTTTTATTTAAAAATATCTTATAAAAATGAAATTTAAAAATTTAAAAATATGTATATATACAATGTTCTACATCTGTGGACACCCTATCTCTGCAAAGGAGTTGAGGAATGTATATTCCCATATCTCTTCTCTGGGGCCAAATTTTTTTTTGTAAGTTTGTGATATTTCTAAAATCTGTTTTGTGATTGATTTCTTTCCTTTACATGGTTGTAGTCATTGTATGTATTGTTTTCTTTGCTCTGCTTACCTCTGTCTGCAACAGTTCATGTAGATCTTCCCATGCTTAACTGTATTCATCAAATTTTCTGTTTCTTACAGTATATTAATGTATGAAAATTTGTTCAGTCTTTCCCTAATAGGTGGCATCTAGTCTGTTACCAGTTCTTTACTACCACATAAAATGCTGCTGGGGAGCTAGGTGGTGCCACAGCACATAGAGCGAAGGGCCTAAAGTCAGGAAGATTTGTTGTCCTGAATTCACATCTAGCCTCAGACACTTACTAGCTGTGTTACTCTGGGCAAGTCACTTAACCCTGTTTGCCTCAATTTCCTCATCTGTAAAATGAGCCGGAGAAGGAAATGACAAACCAATCTAATATCTTCATCAAGAAAAGCCCACACAGGATTATGAAGAGTTGGATGTGACTGAAACAATTGAACAACACAAAATTCTGCTATAAATAGTTTGGTGTATATTACATTTGGCTGCATTTCTGTCAGAGACCTTCAGTTACAAGCTAAGCAGTGGAATCTCTGGATCAAAGAACATGGACATTTAGCCATTTTATTTTCATAATTCTAAGCAGTTTTTCAGAATGGTTGTATTAATTCTTCGTTTCACCAACAATGCACTAGTAGTATGCATTTATGCCCTCCAACATCAACTATTTCCATCTTCTGTGTTCGTCGCCAATTTCCTGGGTGTGAGGTAAAACCATGAGGTTGTTTTGATTTGCATTTCTCTTGAGGGAGTAATCTTCCATGTAATTGTTAATAGTTTGTAATTCTTCTCTTGAGGAGGGTTTGTTCATATTTTTTGATGATGTGTCTATTAGGCAATAGCCTTCTGGGTGTCTCTGGGTGGGTGTCAATGTCTGTGTGAGTTTGTCTCTCTGTCTGTCTCTATTTCTTTGTCTCTCTGTCTCTGAGAGAAGAAATACTTTAAAATCCCCCTTCTTTTTTGGTCATGAACTCTGCTAGATTTTCTCTTTGATAGTATTGAACACCATTAGTAAACATATTCTCTCTGTTCTATGTCTAGCTTAATATCAATGAGGAGAATAGTTAAATAAAATTATCTGTTGTCATATTTTTCATATAATTTTGTATAATTTTGACACATGCTTGGCACACAGTTGAAAGTCTTGAAGGTAGATTTTTTCCTACTTAAATGACTCTGTGCGTGTGTGTGCGTGTGTGTGTGTATGTGTGTGTGTGTGTATTTAATAGTCATCAGGCAAGAAATTCAGTGGATCTTGTATTTTTCACATGTTTTTGTCACCATGTTTTGGAAGCAATGTGACCCACCATGGTGTATCATGTGAAAATAAGCCTGTTCCCTTTTGTTCCCGTTGTTAAAGCTGCCTTTAATCCATTTGTTGATTATTTTCATAAAATTTGCATATATAGAGGAAAGCTGGCAAGTTTCCATTAGTTCATCTTTTCATGGACCCTCCTCCTTTGTTAGATAGTATTATTAAGGTCTATGAGTGCTTTTTTCTGTATTTTCAGTGATTCCCTTCATTGAAACAGTAACTTCAATAAAGTAACAATGTAAAAAAATCCCATAAAGTTATCAACTTCTAAAGAATATGTCAAAACCCAGCAGGAAGAGATAGAAAGAGAAACTAAACAATATAAGGATAGGAGGTAAGCTATCAAGACACACCCAAGACCTATGCAAAGATAACCATAAAACACTATATTGACATAAAGGAAGACATCAATGGAGAAATGTTCACTGTTCATGGTTAGGCTGTACTGTGCTTTTATTCTTATGCTTACTCCTCCTCCTCTTCTTCCTCCTCCTATTCCTTTTGTTGTTGTTACTAGACTGTGATTTCATTAGCGTAAGGATTTCCAGGTGAAAAACTTCTACCAAAGCAGATTGGCAGCTTCCTTAGA